CTACACGAAAAACCCATTTCGCCCCCATGTAATCGTAGGAGTACAGAAAAGATCCATTTTACCCCTAAAAAATCGAATGAGGTCAGAAAATATCCATTTTGCCCCTATGATACCGTATAATTCAATGTGCTTGAGATATTTCCCTAATTGATTATCTTAAATTAAATATTATTTTGAATTTATCTATACAATTCTAACTTGAAAACTCTTGGTTATCCCAAAAACCATACTCCATGGCGTCACTACCGAATGGCGCCCCCTTCGCATTCTCATTTGATAATTTTTCCGTTTGACAATTTTTCCTTACGTCGGGTATTTCTCTCAAGCTCCCCTGCAAACAAAACCTCGTGCTAAGTTTTGCAGGAANCTATATAAATTCTATACGCAATCCATTTTACCCCCATGAAATCGTATGAGATCACGAAAAACCCATTTTGTCCCCATGAAATCGTAAGAGGTCAGTAAATACCCATTTTACCCCAATGGAATCGTAAAAGTTCACAGAATACCCATTTTGCCCCAATGAAATCGTATGAAGTCAGAAAATACCCATTTAGCCCCTAAGAAACCATATGAGTTCACGAAGAACCTATTTTGTCCCAATTAAATGGCATGAGTACTAGAAAAACCCATTTAGCCCCTAANTATCGGGAAATACCCGATAATTTTGAAGCTCTTGGGGTATTACTACTGATGATTTTTTTCTTTTACTTTTTTTCGAGTTGAATGGTGTTCTAGATAGATAGATATTCAGCTATAATACTCCAAGACCTCCAAAATTATTGGGTATTTCATGAATGTTTTGTTGCATAGCAACGAGAGCGCTACGCGCTCGGGATTTTAGTCCGCAAAANAATGAAATCGTATGAAGTCAGAAAATACCCATTTAGCCCCTAAGAAACCATATGAGTTCACGAAGAACCTATTTTGTCCCAATTAAATGGCATGAGTACTAGAAAAACCCATTTAGCCCCTAAGAAATTGTAAAAGTTCACAGAATACCCATTTTGCCCCAATGAAATCGTATGTGGTAAGTAAATACTCATTTTACCCCCATTAAATTGTAGGAGTAGGGGGTGGGGGGGGGGCAAAACGGACCAAGGGGGTNAACTTGAGGGAAATATCCGATGAATTTTGAAGGTCGAGGGGTATTCGGAGCACAATTTCTTGAATTCTGATTTTGGCCGATCAGGGTGCAGTGTTCGGGGGTACGGGACACATTTCACAAAAATGTGAGGAATATCTGTCAAATTCGCAGAAAACAATTGACAGGCTACAGGGAAATTATCAGACTGATAATTTCCCTGCAGCCGGGGAAATTAACAGTGTGAAACGCGTCACGTGATTNATTTTCCAAAATTCATCACTGAATAGGAGGGGTGAGAGTGATGGAGGAGGTGGTGGGCGGTGGGTGATGAAGTTAGATNCAAAATTGATCCCGATCGTTGATATGCAGGAAAACTTGAGGGAAATATCCGATGAATTTTGAAGGTCGAGGGGTATTCGGAGCACAATTTCTTGAATTCTGATTTTGGCCGATCAGGGTGCAGTGTTCGGGGGTACGGGACACATTTCACAAAAATGTGAGGAATATCTGTCAAATTCGCAGAAAACAATTGACAGGCTACAGGGAAATTATCAGACTGATAATTTCCCTGCAGCCGGGGAAATTAACAGTGTGAAACGCGTCACGTGATTGCGAATACTGCACTCTGATTGGTCAAAATCAGAATTGAGGAAATTGTCAGCTATAATACCCCAAGACCTTCAAAATTATCGCATATTTCCCGAATTNTACTCCAAGACCTCCAAAATTATTGGGTATTTCATGAATGTTTTGTTGCATAGCAACGAGAGCGCTACGCGCTCGGGATTTTAGTCCGCAAAATTGATCCCGATCGTTGATATGCAGGAAAACTTGAGGGAAATATCCGATGAATTTTGAAGGTCGAGGGGTATTCGGAGCACAATTTCTTGAATTCTGATTTTGGCCGATCAGGGTGCAGTGTTCGGGGGTACGGGACACATTTCACAAAAATGTGAGGAATATCTGTCAAATTCGCAGAAAACAATTGACAGGCTACAGGGAAATTATCAGACTGATAATTTCCCTGCAGCCGGGGAAATTAACAGTGTGAAACGCGTCACGTGATTGCGAATACTGCACTCTGATTGGTCAAAATCAGAATTGAGGAAATTGTCAGCTATAATACCCCAAGACCTTCAAAATTATCGCATATTTCCCGAATTTTTTGTTGCATAGCAACGAGAGGGATCAGTTTTGCAGATTAAAATCCCGAGCGCGCAGCGCGAGGAAAAACTCTATTCTTCCGAGGAAGAACTCCAGCGCGCTCCTGCAGCCGGGGAAATTATCAGTGTGAAACGCGTCACGTGACTGCGAATACTGCACTCTGATTGGTTAAAATCAGAATTGAGGAAATTGTCTTTTGTATTTAATGATTTTCTTCAGCCCAGCTAATAATTTACCGGTGAATTTCCGAATATTTACCGATCTTGCTGGGGACTTTTAGATGGCATCCATAAAAATTGTTCCCTGGGAGGCGGCGAGAACAATGGTGGCGATGGGAGGGTGCTCAGCCATTTCCATTGCCACTTCTTGTTGGCTCATGATCCTTTTTTAACTTTCATTTTTTGACAGCTGAGCAATTAATTCAGTGACAGGGATGGGGAAGGATAATTTAATTCCTGAAGAAAGATGCAAAGCAAATTATTTTTCGTATTTCATGTTCATTCTTAGCGAGGAGTAATATTTTATTATTTGTGAAATAAAAAGTTGAAAAAAGAATGATTAATTTTGGGTTTCGAGGAAGGGATCAACTTTCTATGAATAGGAGATGGTGATAGAACGAGGAAAAAAGTGTCGTTTTAACGCAAAATGTTGATTTGATTTCGTGCGCAATTAGATTTTCAGAGGTGAAAATTTTTTTGGTGCTCAATCAGTGTGAGTATAAGCAAAAGCGAGCAGTGTAATTTTTTCAGATTTTTATTGGCATTCATTTCATTGAGAAAAAAAAACGGGTGGCACGGTGCTCATTAAGCCAGTTCAGGAGGGGTAAATAATTTCATGAAGATTTCTCGCGTCCCACTGTTTTTATTCATTCTCCATTCGGCTATTGAGTGATAGCGGTACCGGAGGTCTGGATGGTGGGAATTCCTTTGAGTAAGAATTGCTGACAGGATTCTTAAAAATGTTTTTTTTTAAAGGCAAGATGGTTTAAAATAGTTGAAACCAAGAAAATTTCATTTATTTTTTCATTTCAAAAAAAATTTTTTTTTAGCTTTGAGTAGATCGCAGTTTCATGGAAGGTTTCCTTCTCCCTTTCCTTGGGGTCACATGGGCCAGAGTCATGATAGAAGAAAAACATTTGGGTCTTATGTAAGGTTGGATCTAAACATGAACTGTTTTTCGGACATGAATATAGATTAAGATTTGTTCTTACATCTAAATGGAATTCAAAATTATGTATTCATGGAAAATGAGACACTAAGGCGCGCGTAGCTCGCCTCATACGCTAGCTAATGAAAAAAGTGAAACAAAAAACGTTCACCAATAAAAAATGTCAACTAACGCCTCATCATTCTATTTTGATTACAGGCAGTGGCACTTGCTGCACCCCAAGGCTTCGAATTCCCATCAGATCCGCAGCCAAAGCCTGGATTTGCCCCAGCCTGGGGCGGTTTTCTCAACCGAATAGTAGAGGGTTTGCAACTTCCCCAATTAGCCCAGCAAATTGAATCTCTCCTCAACAGCATCGAGACCCTCCTCCCTAAACTGGAAAGTTCTCAACTTGATAAAACACCTGCCGGAGGTCTTGTTGCTAGTCTTCTGCTCCAGGTGAGGGCAATCCTCGTCAACACCCTGGCTCGACTCGAGAAAGCACCTAATGCTATTTTGAATAGAGACCTCATCAATCAGCTGACAAGTATCCTCGGGAGGGTTGAATTGTTGTTGAATGATACTTTGGGGAGTGTCACTGGATCCCTTCAGGGAGTCATCTCAGGGGTTATTGGAGAGATCTCGGGGATCATCGAAGGTCCAGTTATTCAACTCGTCCCAGATCTCCTCACGAGGGTTCTTCATCTGCTTCGAGTCGCTGTTGAGAAACTTGGCTGAATCTAACGATTGACGAATTCATGGATTTTTCTTAATTGCTGTCAATAAAACTGAATTTTTCTTTTGTTAAATGGAAATTTATTCATTTCTTTATTTATTCATCCATTGATTTATTCATTTATTTTTCAAACAGTCATACATTTTTTTTCAGAATTTATGAAGGGAGTGTCTATTCACACGCTCCACGGTAAATTTACCGTGGATTTACGGGAGATTTTACCGTGGATATAAGATCATTTCTACCGTGGTTATAAGGTAAAAAGACAAGTGCATTGGGCCCCGTTTTTTCACCGTGGATATACGGGAGATTTTACCCTGGATTTAAGGTAATTTCTAACGTGGATATAAGGCACGCATTGGGCCCTTTTTACCGTAGATATATGGAAGATTCGACCATAAATTATTGTAATTCGTACCGTGGATATAAGGTAAATATACGGAAGATTCGACCATAAATTTATTGTAATCCCTACCATGGATATACGGTAGATGGTCCATTGGACCCTTTTTTACCGTGGCTTTTAGGTGATTCTTACCGTGGATGCAAGGTAAGTGATTTTTATGCATTGCCCCATTTTTGGCGTGGATATATAAAGGGCTTTCATCGTGGATTGAGACAGATCTACCGTGGATATGAGGTGTGTGATGAGCGTTGCGTACATTTTCGTACCGTGACTGACAGTTGCTCGGTTTGACTTGTGCTCATTCCCAACCATTGATACAAGACCACATGAACAACCATTCTTGAACATTCTTACAATTAAACTCGAATTTTTTTTGTACTGAAATCAAAATCTGACGATCTAAGAATTCAGTGAAAAGAATGGAGGAGTCTGCAGCAAAATTGAAAAAAACTTAAAAGTGATATTTCTTGATCATCGTAAATCAATAGAATAATCATAGATGACTCCATTCCTATCGACAGCTTGAAGAATATATATAAACATCAAAGGTGTAAAACAATTTTCTTCCAAATAATAGAGCAAATTAGAGTGAGAACTTCATATATCTGTCAGACATGAGGGAAAAAGATAGTAACATGAAGGTCATAGGTGAGTTATATGTATGACGGGCATGTGGAGGTCGTATACAGGGTATCCCAAAACCCCACAACAATCTCTCGGGGAATGGAGAAGGGAAACATTGTGAGTCGAAAAGGTCTTTTCAACTTTTCTCTAGATTAATTCAAGAAGTGGTAAGAATGACGGTGTCAGTGGCCGGATTTGCATCGAAGCAGCGTCTAAGGGGGAGCGATGAATGTGGAGGAGGAGAGGGACAATCTCTTACGTCTTCTACTGGAGGTGCTGATGAGAACGGTTATGGACATACTCTAGAGCTCCCTAGAATTATTCTATTCTCATTAGAATGGTTCGACTCTTTTTAGAATTAGAACTGTCATGAAGACAATTCATGACAGTTGTCAACCGAAAAATCTTGTGAAGTGACTGCCGGCAAAGAAGTAACCTGAATTGAAGTAGTGGGGAACACGAGCATAGATGGGAATTTGGGTGAAGTGAAGACATACGGTTGAGGTTACTCCTTTGGCAAGACGTAAAAAACGATGAATTCAGCACCTCCCCCACTCGGTATTATATTTATCTGTTACTCAGAATGACAATGTAAGAATTTCAATTCGATCTAGGATGTTATTACCTCTGGTAAACTATTGAGCATGGTTGATACCCTGTCTAGTATACTCACCGACAAAGAGAGGCCCTAAAACAGTCAAAGTGCTAAATTTATCATCGACAACGTTTCTTTCAATAATTATCAAAATCAATGAACGTGGCAAGAATTCATTTGAGATAGCCAATCTTTTTTTTTCTCGCTTAGCATTGAACCCATTTTTTCACTGTGGATTAGAGTGAAAGATATAAATTCTTCGATTCAGAAGGGAAGAACCATACTGAAACAGAGTGGCATCGAGAGAGTTTATTAGCATTTATTGGCATGAACATTATTTCCTACACATGCAATACACAGAAAATGATGACTCTTCCATTTATTCAATTATCTCATTATTTTTTACCTCCTCTTTGTACACATAATGCGCAAAACCACACATTTCCACGAGTTCTTCTACCATCAATATTTATACATTGGGAGTGGTACGAAAGTAAGCAGCAGCTACAGGAAAGCCATTCTTGCGGACTAGACTCATTAATTCCTTCGCATTTGTTACATTTTTTCATTAATTCCTGTTTTTTCTCAGCAATAGCTCTCTTGAATGCAGCAAATGCACTCCTCGTGAAATATTTGGAAATCAATTCAATATTAATCCGATCATCTAGGAAAGAATCTCGTAAGGGAGTTTTGTGGTAATTCAAGGAATTGAGTTGAATGCGTTGCTTGAGATCAATCACATTCTTGAATACATCTTTTGGAAGCAGCCAAGTCAACATTTCTCCTATTTGCTGTGATTCATTTTGTTCAATGAAAGAGATGGGGAGTTTTTTCTTTCTCGACTTCCCTGGAGTGGTGATGAAACTCAAACGTGGTTTACCTCTGATGATTATTGATGCAGGTGAATTAATATCAGCTACGGTAGATCGGTTTCCATGATCTGACTCCAGAGGATGAATTTTCTGCAATGGAAATAATGATAATGAGATTTATGGGAATGACTTGACATATTCGAGTCATTATTAGAATCGTAAGTATCAAACATAATAAAATCAATATTTGGAATCGAAACTTTACATACATTTTTTGGAAGAAGCGAAGTTTTGGGTGTGATTGATGTGGACACTGGTTCGCTGAAAGCCTCCCATTCCTGAACTTCAATGAAAGGCTTCAGTTGCTGACTCCAGATTCCTTGCAAGTCTTCTATTGCTTTCATATTCCTTTGAAAGTGCTCGGAAGAAGATGAGGATGAGAATGAGGATGTTGTAGCAAGAACTGTGAGATGGTCATAGATGGGTCGAACTAATTTGCATTTTTGTGGAACACTAAGATTTGTTTCAATTTTGGGTAACTGGTGATTTTTAGATTAGCCATGAGATCGCTCAAATTGACATTAGCCGATGAATATTGTGACTCTGAATCTTTTGTATTGGTGATCTTGAATTGAAGGTCTTTTTTCCATGCTTCTTCAATCACTCTTAGTGTGTTCAGCCTAGAGTCAAACGTCGATCTGCAAGAATTGCTCACTATAAGGATAAGTGAATCGAGTAGGGGTTTCATCAATGTTTCACGACCATTAACTTCACTCACATCAATAGATTTCAGTTCGCATACCAGGGGTAGACGCACACCGATCCTCTCAGAATTTTTCTCTCGGAAGATGCGATGCGTTTGCTGGTAATAGCTTCTCGTCCATCGTGAATCACACAGTTGCTCATGAAATAATGGCAGTCCATGGAACTTCCTTACAGCGAATATATGTCTGCAGGGAAGTAATGAAGATGATGGGCCACCACAAGAGCATGAATTTACTGTCACCTTCAATATTCGGTTGCGACTCTTTATGGAGCATTCTTTTCCATGGCTATCCATAATCATAATTCCCTCGTGCCTTTTCATCTGGGCTAAGACATACAGGGTTCATTCATCTCTGAGAAAATTCAATATTCGCTCTCCCTCGTTACCTTTTTTCACATTCACCGTATTTTTCGAATACATTCTAGCTGCTTTTGAATCAACCTCACTCGTATGTGATTCCAAAAATGTGAAAAATAATTTTAAAAAGACCATCAAGGTGCTGCGTTTTGGAATAACCTGTTTGAATTTTTGATTCAGAGATTCAACCCTATTATTCGTCCGATTACTAAGATTACTGTCATTCATATGGAAAACAGTCCATTCTTCACGAATTGGGTGCCAATTTTTGTTGAAATAGTCTTGCACGTGTTGTGATACTGTATTTGTAAATTCCTTGTAGATCTCATTGTATTCATCTTCACAGGAACTGTAGGTGAGTTTCTGCAAAAAGGTGGCGACCGTCTTTTTCTCTTCTGCGGACAAATTCAAATTTCCCGATCCCATGGCCAATCGAAGAGCCTTCAATGTATGGAAGAGGCAGATATAAATTGGTGGACTTTACTGCGTTTCTGGGTTGTAAAAAGTTTTTTTCAAACTTGGACGTCCAACGTGATCTTTGTCACTCATAAAACACTTGATGTTCGCGCATGCTTCAGGATTGTTGTTTTTAAATGTTTCCAAAAACCAATCGACAGTTGGAGCATCTTCAGCTGCTAATAAGCATACCGCCACAATCTCACTGGCCCCGTTTGAGTCCTCAACCAGCATCAGCATGACAGTCAAGTCACTGTCAAGGAGGGAGTACGTTCCATCGATCGCAACAATTTCAGACCACGCAGCAAGTGATTGTTTCATATCTGGCGTGGTGAAATATAAAGCCCTGAATTTGTCTCCGCTCTTTACGATGGATACATCGGCATCTTCAAACAAGAACAAATAATGCATAAGTTTATCCAGGCAGCTGAAGCAGCATTTTATGGATAACAGAGTTCTAGCAATGGAATCAAGAGGACTAGATCTGAACTTCAATTATGTAATAGGTTTCTCTTGTTTAATATTGTTAATAAGAAAAAAAAACAGTAAGAAAACTTGGAATGCAAAAAAACACATTCTATGGGATTTTTTCAGAGAAAAGGATTAATGAAACTATATTTTCATAGACTTTTTCATAAAAGCGGCGAAAAACTAATGAAATTTTTTATAGCGGACCAACACAATTTTATAGCGAGGTATGTGAAAAATTTTCATTTACTTAATGATGATTTTGAAATTATTAATTCAACTAATTCTTCACACGGAATGAGACTTTCTGTAAATCATCAAACTCACAGCAATTGAAAAACTTCTCTCATCGAAAATTCAGAAGTTATTGAAGTCATTTCGGAAGAGAATTGTTAGTGAGATCTTTTGCTCGTTAGGTTGATTTTACTCATCTCCCCTCTTTTGCCGATAAATAAAAGAAAAAACTAAAATATTAAGTACGGTGCTAAGGTCTTTATGTACAAGAAGCCTCTTAATTAACTCAGAAAACATCTCACCGTTTTCACGTCCCTAAAGTTAGCGGAACAAGGTCAAAAAATGGGGGTTTTTTTTGGCTCAAAATTATGTTTTTTATGTGTTTTTTGGTGCTCGAACAAAAAAAATTGGTGCTCCAACCCTTCTGGAGTTAAGGGTAGGGGGTGCAAAATAAGGGATGATTGAAAAAAAAATTATGCCATAATTATGTGCTTTTTACGTGCTTTCGGCTAGCGAAGGAGAGTTGACAGGAGGGGGGCTGATTTGGGAGAAATGGCCCTTCTAGGGGAAACTTCATTTAGGGGTTGAAAAATCTGGATAAGTGATAATAGCTCTGTACATTGGCCCATAATTATGTGTTTTTTACGTACTTCAAGACAAGGGGGGAGAGAATGGGGTAAAGAGGCCCGTTTGAGAAAAACCACTTACCTAGGGGAAAATTCAATTCGGGGGTGAGTAGAAAAGGACTGGTGATTACAGCGTCATACTGTAGACTAGAATTATGTGTTTTTTACGTACTTCAAGACAAGGGGGGAGAGAATGGGGTAAAGAGGCCCGTTTGAGAAAAACCACTTACCTAGGGGAAAATTCAATTCGGGGGTGAGTAGAAAAGGACTGGTGATTACAGCGTCATACTGTAGACTAGAATTATGTGTTTTTTATGTGCTTGAAGATGATTGATGAGAAATTCTGGGAAATATAAAGCCTATTGAAAAAAAAGACTCCAAGGTCCAAATAAGGTCGCGAGCGAGATATACCTTGCGCTAGTTATTTTTTTGTTTTCCAATCATTATATGATTGAAAAAATATATGTTTCCAAATTATGACGATGAAAATACTCGTGCTCCAGTTATTTTCAATNCCACTGTCATAAAAACGTTTTTCACAATAAATGCATGGAACATTGTCTGCATCATTGGATTTCTTTCTGATTCCCCTCAAACTTGCCCCCCGGTCCGTTTTGCCCCGTTGGTCCGTTTTGCCCCCCCCCCCTCCCCTACACGAAAAACCCATTTCGCCCCCATGTAATCGTAGGAGTACAGAAAAGATCCATTTTACCCCTAAAAAATCGAATGNCTAGAATTATGTGTTTTTTATGTGCTTGAAGATGATTGATGAGAAATTCTGGGAAATATAAAGCCTATTGAAAAAAAAGACTCCAAGGTCCAAATAAGGTCGCGAGCGAGATATACCTTGCGCTAGTTATTTTTTTGTTTTCCAATCATTATATGATTGAAAAAATATATGTTTCCAAATTATGACGATGAAAATACTCGTGCTCCAGTTATTTTCAATGTACACAGAGCAGGTACACTGGACACCGTGAGCAACTTCGCAGCGGTCGCCATTTTTTTTTCAAGTCACAATTGTGTACAAAAAAAATGTGTTTTCGAAATCTGTCAATTAAAATATTCGTGCTTCAGTTTTTTCCAATGTACACTGATCAGATACACAGGTGACCGCCAGCAACTTTGCAGCGGTCGCCATTTTTTTTAAAGTCACCATTGTGTAGAAAAAAAATATGTGTTTTCGAAATCTGTCAATTAAAATATTCGTGCTCCAGTTTTTTCCAAAGTACACTGATCAGATACACAGGTGACCGCCAGCAACTTTGCAGCGGTCGCCATTTTTTTTAAAGTCACCATTGTGTAGAAAAAAAATATGTGTTTTCGAAATCTGTCAATTAAAATATTCGTGCTCCAGTTTTTTCCAAAGTACACTGATCAGATACACAGGTGACCGCCAACAACTTTGCAGCGGTCGCCATTTTTTTTAAGTCACCATTGGTTACAAAAAAATATGTGTTCCCGAAATCTGTCAACTAAAATATTCGTGCTCCATTTTTGTCCAAAGTACAGAAATCAGATCCACTGGTGACCGCGGCAACTTCGCAGCGGTCGCCATTTTTTTTTCAAGTTATCATTGTGTACAAAAAAATGTGTTTTCGAAATCTGTCAATTAAAATATTCGTGCTCCAGTTTTTTCCAATGTACACTGATCAGATACACAGGTGACCGCCAGCAACTTTGCAGCGGTCGCCATTTTTCTTTTTCAAGTCACCATTGATTACAAAAAAATATGTGTTCTCGAAATCTGTCAATTAAAATATTCGTGCTCCAGTTTTATCCAATGTACACTGATCAGATACACAGTAGGTGACCGCCAGCAACTTTGCAGTGGTCGCCATTTTTTTTTCAAGTCACCATTGTTTAGAAAAAAAAATGTGTTCGTGAAATCTGTCAATTAAAATATTCGTGCTCCATTTTTGTCCAATGTACAGAGATCAGATACACTGGTTACCACCGACAAATTCGCAGCGGTCGCCATTTTTTTTCCAAGTCACCATTTTTTAGAAAAAAAAATGTGTTTTCTAAATCTGCCAATGAAAATATTCGTGCTCGATTTTTGTCCAAAATACAGAGATCAGATACACTGGTGACCCCGGCAACTTCGCAGCGGTCGCCATTTTTTTTTCAAGTTACCATTGTGTACAAAAAAATATGTGTTTTCGAAATCTGTCAATTAAAATATTCGTGCTCCAGTTTTTTCCAATGTACACTGATCAGATACACAGGTGACCGCCAGCAACTTTGCAGCGGTCGCCATTTTTTTTTCAAGTCACCATTGGTTACAAAAAAATGTGTTCCCGAAATCTATCAATTAAAATATTCGTGCTCCATTTTTGTCCAATGTACAGAGATCAGATACACTGGTTACCGCTGACAAATTCGCGGCGGTCGCCATTTTTTTTCCAAGTCACCATTTTTTTAGAAAAAAATATGTGTTTTCTGAATCTGCCAATGAAAATATTCGTGCTCGATTTTTGTCCAAAGTACAGAGATCAGATACACTGGTGACCCCGGCAACTTCGCAGCGGTCGCCATTTTTTTTTCAAGTTACCATTGTGTACAAAAAAATAGGTGTTTTCGAAATCTGTCAATTAAAATATTCGGGCTCCAGTTTTTTCCAATGTACACTGATCAGATACACAGGTGACCGCCAGCAACTTTGCAGCGGTCGCCATTTTTCTTTTTCAAGTCACCACTGGTTACGAAAAAATGTGTTCTCGAAATCTGTCAATTAAAATATTCGTGCTCCAGTTTTATCCAACGTACACTGATCAGATACACAGGTGACCGCCAGCAACTTTGCAGCGGTCGCCATTTTTCTTTTTCAAGTCACCACTGGTTACGAAAAAATGTGTTCTCGAAATCTGTCAATTAAAATATTCGTGCTCCAGTTTTATCCAACGTACACTGATCAGATACACAGGTGACCGCCAGCAACTTTGCAGCGGTCGCCATTTTTCTTTTTCAAGTCACCACTGGTTACGAAAAAATGTGTTCTCGAAATCTGTCAATTAAAATATTCGTGCTCCAGTTTTATCCAACGTACACTGATCAGATACACAGGTGACCGCCAGCAACTTTGCAGCGGTCGCCATTTTTCTTTTTCAAGTCACCACTGGTTACGAAAAAATGTGTTCTCGAAATCTGTCAATTAAAATATTCGTGCTCCAGTTTTATCCAACGTACACTGATCAGATACACAGTAGGTGACCGCCAGCAACATGGCAGTGGTCGCCATTTTTTTTTCAAGTCACCATTCCAAAAGAAAACGATCCGTGACCGTAACGGTGGTCCTTTCTTCGGTTTTTACCCTAAAATTCATTCTTTCTTTTAGACGAACCATATATATCTTATGCTCATTCGAAAGCTTATTAAATGAGCTTCAAATTGACACGTAAATGATTCGGTTTCAGCCATTTTTCATTAAGTTATGGGATTTTTAGGCGAAAATTGAATTTTCATGTTTTACTTAAAAATTCAATATTGGTTGGATTTTTTATATTTTCGAGTCAAGTTAATGGGAATATCTTTGTATGGATTTTAAAGATCATTTTCCGTTCTTCAAATCGAGATATGTTAAATGCGAGTTGGTTGAATTTTCATGAAGTTATTGACTATTGTTTCCATTTGGAATGCTATGTCACACTCTAAAATTCGCATTTTTGATCAATTATCGGGACTTTGGACTTGACCTGTGAGGCTTTATCATACACCAACTTGAAGATCTCAATGAGATCTTCAAAATGGCGTATGCTAATTTCCGTTCCATCCATTTGATCAATAGTTGTGGGTGATTATGTGTCGATTTTCGCATGTCACAAATTGAAATTTTCGTTTTCTTCAATGTAATTGACAAGAATTGCTCTCTTTTTCTTCGACTATCAGCATGAATCTTATGTCGGTTGGAAAGATGATTAAATAACCATCAAATTGACAGGCGAACTGTTTAATTTTGATGATTTTTCAACGAGTTATGAGACTTATTAGGAATAAAACGAATTTTCGTGTTTTACTCGGAAATTCAACTTTGGTTGGATTTTTAGATATTTTCATTT